GTATATTTCTTTGATTTTTTATGGAAAAAGATAGATAAGTCAATATGACAGACTCTAAAGAAATAAAATTAGATTTTGTTATTAATACTCTTGAAGCATTGAGGATCAAGGCAAAGACTTTGTTGAAGTAGAATGAAGAACTATATATGATCATACATAATGGTCAAGGAGTTGGAATGCCTCAACCATTTTTATCAAATGGCAATAGAGATTCCAAATTTTCAAAGGACTATACTTACTTCAATAAACATGGAAGATGCATCCACTCATAGCAATGATTTGACAACAATAACAAAAAAAGAACCAAGGTTCAGCCTTCCAAAAAAGTTTGATGGCATTCGCTCAAAATTTCATGGCTTAGTAAACCAAGTACAACTAATCACCTTGATTCAATCTTAACGATATTCCTTTTGAAGCATTTCATATTGGTTTGCTTAGAACCTTGCTCTCAAGTCAAGCTTTATTTTGATTTGCTCTATTATTTGAAAAGAATTCTCCTATATTGCACAATTTTGAAGTATTTTTGGTAGTATTTATAAAAATATTTGGTGAACATAATAAGATTTATTCTTCAACAACTAAAATTCAAAGACTTTGATAAAGAACATGTTTTGCATCAATATATGCCTCCAATTTTTGAAAATTAGCGTGTGATATAAATTAAAGAGAAGATGCATTGATGAGCCAATTTTATTGAGAATTAAGAAATAATATCAAGGACTTATTGTTATCTATGCCAGATCTTCAAATACTCTTTATCAGCCCTTCTTGTTTTTTTACTATACTTGTATACTTAAGAGTCTCAAAACTAGAATGTCATGCATTACTTGATTTGGAAGCCTCTACATGTTTTATTGACAAAGAATTTTTTAGATTATACAAAATTTGTACAATCAAAAAATCCAAAGTTGTACATATAAAGTAATAGATGGTTGATCTTTATCCTCTGGAGACATCACTCATAAAACAATTCTATTAGAAATAATCTTTGACAATCATAATAGTCAAGGAGTATTCAATGTCATTAGAGCACTATCAAGTCCAGTCATTTTAGGACTCTCATGGCTTAAGAAATACAATATATGGATAGATTGAGTATCTCAAAAGTTAAAATTTCATTTAATAGATTATGGAACTCCTAAATCTATAAAAAAGCTTCTAACACCCGATAAGCCAAAACTTAAATAATATTTATTTATTAGAGCTAGATCATTTATGAAGGTGGCCAAATAGGGCTATGTTTGCTGTCTATGCAAATCCACAATCAAAACCTAAAGTTACTACAACAGCAATTCCAAAGACATGTAAAGATTTTGTAGATATATTTGAAAAAAAAAAAAAAAATACAATCATACTGCCAAAGCATTGTCCTTATGATTGTACGATTGATCTTCAAGAAGGTGTTCAACTATCATTGTTATGATGTAAAATGGCTAATAGATAAAAATAAATAAATAAATAAAATATCATATTTTTGAAGATCTTATTTCAAATACATTATAACAAATTATCTTGGAAAAATAGATAAGAATCAAGAGATAGAAAAATTAAAAGTGTTGATACTACCTTTATGTAAAATAGACTTCTTTTCACTTTGTAAAACCACAAATAGAATAAAATAAGGTAGATTAGAAAATTAAATAATATAAGTACCTTTGAAAAGAAGTTAAAAGTAGTTTCCAATAAAAATTATCTAAAAAAAATTAGATATTGATACCCAGTGTCGTATTAGGTCTTGTCTTCCTTGAGAATGTATTGGGTACCTAGCTGTAGAAAGTAAGGTTGTGTTTCTCAAACATCCAAAAAAAACCCTAATAGGTTTTACCCATATGAAAAGAATATAATTCAAAATCGGATTCAAAAGTGCTAAAAAAAACTCTTCTTAGTAGCCTCAATCACAACTAAACTTTAATTACCTTGTTACTTTCATATTAAAGCAATTTAGATTTTTCTTATAAGGGCCAATCCTAATCAATGAGCTTTAACAAGCTGTAACTTCTAATCTGACCTTCTACTTGATGTAAAATTTTGCATACAATTGCCAATGTAAGCCTTCCATATGCTCAAGAATTTTCAGCCCAATCCAACTTACAAATTGTGAGGAAACCTCCAAAAATTACACTAATGTCACTTGGCCGCCAACTTGAAAAAGTGAAGCAAAACTCCTATCAATGATTTCTCCTTTTCCAACCATTAACTTTGACTCAAAATTGGTGTGTAGCTTGATCTTCAAGTCTTTCAATACCATGCCAAATTTCACCTTGATCTAATTGATAGATCTCCAGATATCACAAAAATCCTACCCAACCTCAAATTGCCAACTTCCAAAAGCCTCTTGTACTAAAAACCAGATATCTCTAAACTACACCATTAGATTATGACAAAATTTTGTATATACTTTACAAATCCAATAACCCAAATAATATAAATTTTTTAATCTTAAATACTATACGAATTTTATGCATTAGCTAAAATTACTAGTCTTAATTATATTATATAAAACCCAAATCACCAATATAAATCTTGACTTTGAACAACAATTGCTAAGTCCTCAAAAATCCTACAAAAACAATCTTTATGCTTTTGGAAAGAAATTCAAGCTAGCTCTCAAATCCTATCCTTCGATCTTCAAATGAATCTTTATTTTGCCCTAGGCCGTCGTTTTAGTAGCCAAAGGTCTGATTTCAACCCTATCTCACAAATGGCCGACCCACAGGTATCAATCTAACCTATCCTAACAACTTTTAAGCCCAATCCTATCCTCAATTTGATCCTAGCATCAACTATACCAACTATTTAACTCTTCTACCCTGATTTTATCAATTTATGGCCTTTCTAAGGCAATAAAAGTGTTTTTATATCCTAGAAGGTAAAAATACTAACTAACTTTTATCTACTTGCTATTAAGACAAGAAAATAGGCTAAGAGGCTTTCATAAAAGTCTTATTAAAATATTTTGAATTCTTGTTGAATTAATATAATAGAATATTAATTAAAAAATTATTTTTAGTCATATTTTCATCATATAATTGTATCACAACACAACATCGGAAAGGGCCAGTTATGAATTAGGATCAAAATCAGATCCCGAGTCACAAAACTGAGCTTTGACAACGATTCTAGGATTTTTTTGGAGATCGGAGAAAAGGATTTGGAATCTAACTTGACAAGGTTTTTTTGCGCATTGATTTGAAGTGATTTGAGTGTGTATTGACTTTGTAAGAGCTTTGCAAAATTGGGATTTGTTTTGGGTGACTCTGCATTTGTGAAATAAAATAGATGATACTTTTTGGAGAATTTCGTAAGTTTGGCAATAGATCTATAGATGAAATTTTAGAGGTTTGTGGGTTTATATGTGTTCAATATATGTTATGAGTTTGAACTTGATCAAAAGGTTGGATCGAAGGTTATTGAGGCTTAAGTGGGTCAAGGTCTCTAGAGGTAGAGTTTTAGGTCTAGTGAAGGTTTCTTAGATTTCTTGCAATCTATCAATTGGATTGGAATAAAAATTGTGTATATGGATAGTAGAATTATTTTTCTACATATTTGAGAAATTTGAGATCAATTGAATGGTTTGATAGAGACATATTTGAATATTTTTAGAAAAAAAAGTGATTTAAAAGAAGATAAAGAAGCATAATGTAATGCTTTTGATGGTTATTATATCTTTGTTTTGATTAATAACGAAGATAAACTTGAGTCTTAGAAAAAAATCCTATTATGTTTGATTGGAGTCATTGATTAAAGTAAGTTTTTGGAAAAAAAAACTTAAAACAACTTTATCCATGTGTATGCAAATTTTGAAGGCAAAAAATAACCAAGTCAAGAAGAAACAAAGTGCTGAAGCAAAAGGATCCAACAAGATTACAAGTCATAGGCAACAACTTTGAAGAGTCATAACTTGATGTTTATATGAGATATGGTTATGAAACTTTAAATATAATTGTATTATCAAGTCAAAAACTCATTTATCAAATTTCAAGGCATTTTAACATTTGGTTTAAAAGTTATGCATAAAAGAATAATTGAAGGTAGGATTTTGAAAAAAAGATAGTGACCAAAAAATTAGCCTAGGTGATTTTTTTTTTATAAAAAATTTAATTTATCAATCACTTTCAAATTTAAATTATAAAAAAGGGATGAGATATATAAACTATTGCAAAATATTTTATATCATTCTATTGATTTTATATTAAGTTATACAAGTCCAAAGTGAAATAGGTCCAAAGGAGAGGCTAGAATCTAACTAAAACATACATAAACAACAAAGATCTCCGTAGTAAGAGATTTTGTGTTTTTCTCAAACAACCACAAACTTCTTGACATTGTAGCTATGGCAATTTGCACCAAGTGATTATATTTACTTGAGCAAATTGCATTGATCACATTAAATGTGATATCAAACCAAGTTATTTTAAGAATAAAGAAAGTATTTTTAAGTAGTGTATTGAAGTTGGAAGGTTGTGATGGACAAATTTAAAAGGATCATTCTAAAATTTGTGCTCCTTATCATTTGCCAAATATAGATGGTAAAGTGGATGTTAATTCAAATGTAATTTCAATCAACTTAAAATACATGTTATATAGAAGAGCTTGAGGATCTACTTTGGTATTTAGTTAGTTACAACAAGATTTGAAACCACCTTACATAAAAAGCATTTATGCAATTCCACCCTACTACTATCTATTTTATTTTTATTTTTTTAATGATGATAATTAACAAACAAATAAACAAATCTCCTTACTATTCCCTAAACATGTTATATCCTCCAATAGGTGAACTCTTAATATTTCTTATTGGTTATGAATTCTTAGATAATTTTCCATTCATCCATCTATCCATCCATTATATCTATTATGAAAAAATTGACACCCATTGTATACGGCTCTATGAATATCTTGATGCAAATTGTCAAATTATTTTGATGCAATTGCACACTTCCAATTCCAATACAAAAATTTCTTCCTAAGCATAATCAGGTCATTTTTCCATTTTTGCAATATCTGAAATGTGGCGAAAATTCTCTTGCCTTAATAATATTTCTTACAAAACTGAAGTTTTCAGACTCGAAATCAAAATCCCTGACCATGGTTACACTGATCAACGGTTCCTGGTCACTGCAAATTTATGCAGTGATGAACCGCCACATATGATTCTGAAAAGCCAAAAAGTGAAATCGCTGTATCCAATTCAGATACAGGGGAAGTGCAGCACCTGCAAGGAGTGCAAGAAAAACCAGAAGTCTATGTTAATGAACTGAGACTCAGCGCCACAGCAGTTCGTTGACTCCGTGATGAACATATCATCCACTTGCCTTTAACCAAAGGCGAAGAAGCTCGAGGTGGGTAATTGGCTCAAATGCAGAGGAGCGCACCCACATCACCGACCCAATGGAGTTCGACATTGACAGAGCCCACAACTTCTTAGACGAGAGGGGCACGGAATCCAAACCTGGAGTCAAGAAAGGACTGTCTTTACTGGTTCAGATCACCTACAAATTTAAAGAAAACAAAACATGAGCGACATTCTATATTTTAAGCTGGTAACTAAGCTCGAAATCCAACATCCACAGAAGTTACAAGAGCGAGAGAAATGAAAAGCAACGGTGAGCTCAAACCAAGCTACTATCGACGGTATATAGCGATTCGTGGCACCATTACACGAGTGTATGCCTCTAATCAACTTATTAAAATCAGTGAGACGGTAAACAAATACTTAACACTTCCAGTATCACCTTTTAGTCGACATGCCTGATTTTCTGACTTCTATTATACAGGTATGATGTAGTGACTAACCTTGGTGACATGATAACCATTGCTCAGGAGTTGAATGCTTGTCTCGTAAGGTAGAAAGCCCCTTAAAGCAAAACTCCAGGACTCACTTAAGTTTGAAATAGTATCTATCATAACGAGCTCGACTGACCAGTAAAAGCCATAATCCTTGCACATGATGATCAGAATGATGATCTTTATCAACTCCTCGACCATTTCAACAAGAATTTCAAACTCATCCAAAGCCTCTTGACAACTACATTACTGTAGTTAAAGGAACTTGATCTTAATTTAGGAGTACCCAAAGTTCAAGGATCTTGAAAACTCCTGCTCTCTGACACCCAATCACGACTATCAATGACAAGTACCAACCCGTATTGTATCCTGTAGGAGGCAGTTTCAGTATTCCTAGAACCTCTACCTAGTTTACGCATTGAAAACTATCAGCTTTAAATTTGAGAATTTAAATGCATGTGTAGAATCTAAAGTCACACCTACATCCAAACCACACCAAGTATTAACTCAAAAACTCAATACTAATCCAAAGTTGATTAATTCGTACTACACAAGTATCAAACTCAAGAATGAAAACCTAAACCCATGATACTGATAGAATCGATTTTTTTAAATGCACACAAAAGTGATTATTTCCTGTAAAGTTTGTGCAAACCTGGTGATTAAAAAACTTGATTCAATAATACTTTTGATGTAACAACTCAAATAGATAGCTACTAATCACAACATAGCTTATGTTTAAATTTGGTGTTTCTATAACATACATGTTACGATAACTACTTTAGAATTGGCATGTATAATTGTAGAAAACTTTTGCCGGCAATATCTGAGAGCTTCAACAATGTGACAGTAACAAGAACAACAATAAGAAAAAAGAAGAACTAAAGAAGAGAAAAGAAAAAATAAAAAGTATTCTTTTTAATAAAGAGCCAAAAAGCTTCTAAAAGGGGAAAAATCCAATAAACGAATCAGTTGATACAAGCCATTTTCGACTTCGACAGACCAATGTACACAATAACAGCTACTACTTGCTCTAGGAAGCTGTTCATTTCATAATCTCGAACAGCCACAAATCTTCAAGGTCTGTGCAGCAATCCAGAACGCAATCCAGATCTCTTATCTAGAAGGCTAAACAGCTCCCTCAACCACACTCTGAATATTGACAGATGGCAATGGGCTTTGCCAACTACAAGCTATGAAAGATGAAAACTATACGGCTGGGGGCAACACCTTCAAAGATAGAAACAGATAATATATCCATCACAAGCCACCAACCATATCCTGAACTGGACGCCCACGACATTGAAATTTGATCAATTTCTTACGAACCTGTTCTTCAAATCAAGTACAAGGCCAAATTCCTAAACCACAGCAGATACCAAGGTCAGATACAGTTGTAATGCTCTTCGAACAAGATGCAGGACCCAGTTCAACCAATGTGCTCACTCTTTCGAATTTCGAGAGGAACTAGGATTTCTTCCGGAGTTTCCAGCATAAGAATCTCGTCCCTGCACAACCACCAGGCTGCCCAGACGTAAGCCATGCCCAGATGTCCGAGTATCCAGTCCAGCTGATACTGGTACTTACTAATCATCACAAAGCTATCTAAATGTTTAACTAAAGACACTGTAAATGACAATGCTACTCGAAACCACGATATCACATCATGCTTGAACTTAATAGAATATTATGTCTGAGGATATTCTAGTGTAATGTATTCTGAATTCCACAGATCTGAAGCTCGGAAGCTAGATGATAAGTGATTCACATCCTACATTCAGAACCCCACACCCAACTACAGAAATCGAACCAAAACAATATTAAATAGCACTATGAAGGTCACATCCGCGGAAAGGAGCGCAAGACAAAGCGGGAAGTGAAACAGCTGACCAAAATTACTGACTTTCAGATCATAATACAACATGAAGGTTGGCTACAAGTAGGTGACTATCGACACTATGTTAAGTCAGTAACAACTACCCTTTTACATTTATTTTGTAGTTTCAATCGAAAAAGACGGTTCTTTCAGAATAAGACTAACAGATGGCTTGAAGAACATACAGATAACTTCTGCACGACGTAATGACGATTAGCATCGTGTTGACAGATCAGATCTCTCAAAAAGCAAATAAAAGGTAAAAGTCATTTCATCCAAGAATGAAATGCCTCCGAACAGACACCAAAGAGCGTAATTTCGTATTCGTCCACAATTGAGGCTACTTCCAGGAAAATCAACTCTCGACTTCACAACAATAGGGTGGTTTGGATTGAAGAGACAAGCTATCAGCCATGCCCTTGAGCCACAAACCTGGGGCCTACTTTACTCGCTTTCGATCCATTTCAACAGAAAGAGACTCAATTCCGTACAGGGCGGCTTCATAATCCCTCATACTAAGCGGCGGATGGTGGTTAGATACCGTCCGCTTGGGATCCGTAGATGCCACCGGAGAGCTCCTCTGCATTCCTGCTGATGTGCGCAGGCTAGTGGGGCCCATTTTGCCAGCCAACACCCGCGTTCCATCTCCCGCCTCTGTTGACCCTGCTGGCCTAGTACTTCCAACAACAGCTCTCCTTGATGATGAGCTCCCCCGCACAAACGAAGAAGCATGCGTGCGCTCTGGTTCTGCAAGACCGCTAAGGGCCTGGAACACCAGCTCACCAGAATCAGAAAACACATCAATGCACGAGCAGCAACCCAAAGTACCATTTTATCTAAGCTTCACAGTCTACAATAACCTAGTCAGAATGGAGACCTAGCCATAGCAGCGGATCTTCGCGTATGCAGCCACGAAGTCATCACAAAAGACGAATAAAGCAAAGTGCGTGAGAAGAATAGATAGATTGGTCAGCTTACTATGTCCTTAGAAGCGGCTTCATCTGGGCTAGTACTCTTATGCTTTGACGCGTCCAGTGGATTTAATCCACTAGAGCGAGTCGCACCAACCATTCGAGTTCGAGCGGCAACATCAGTAGGCTCAATTGCTCGCTGGGCGTCTCTTGGGACTGTACCAATTCCTGCTGCCGCTGCTGCTGCTGCTCCACTTGAACCTCCCGCCGCAGCCTGAAAACAAGAGGTTTACGATCACATTCAGTAGCACATTTGCACTTCACATGCAAAGCCTAAAAATTACACTGTCATAACACATTAAAGGTAAAACAGAAGCACCAATGGTAGGTGTTTGTACTGAACTTTACCTATGATGCTTGAGAAACAGCATAGAAACAGCGAAAAGGATCAAAAACAGTAACAATTATAGGTTAGCAAAAACAAAAGCTTCAGGTTGCATTAACGAAATTACCGCTGGACGGAGAGGACCACCAGAAAAATGTGTTTGCTGATACTTCAAAATCGTCCAGTCGAAAACATAATCAAACTGAAAACCTGTAGCAGGGCGAACACAATGTTATTGATGTACATCAGAAATCAGATAAATTTGCAAATCGTTCAGGATGCGACATACAAATGGACATTCATAATCTTCTGGGCACAGTTTCGGAGGAATTCGATTTTGAGGCTTTCACATCACTGCAACTCTAGAAACCTCCGACACATAACCGCATACAGAGTAGAAACTGAGGACGAAAACGAAACTTATATGTGCATGAATTCGGGAATTCTCACCCTCACGAATGAAGAGATCTCGGAAAATTCTCTTCAGGTAAGCATAGTCCGGTTTGTCATCGAACCGAAGAGACCGACAGTAGTGGAAGTATGAAGCAAACTCAGACGGGTAAGCTTTACAAAGGAACTGCACACGTCCCATCAACACAAACATGAGTGAGAGCCAAATCCAATCTGCAAGAATTGACTGTCAAACTTCTATGTAGTGTTTTATTGAAAAAAAGACCGTCTTCTAGTACCTCTATAGGGGTGGACATCTTTTTCTCACTGATTTTTTCATACTTCTGCTTCTTGGTTCCTGCTTTCATTCCTTGCCAAGGCAGGCTGAACCAAACAAATACAAGAGTCATAATCTGCGACAGCATCATCTGAAATATGACTCAATAGCTGATAATTGCAGCAGCTTTCTGCATAAAAAATACTGATAAATTCACTTTTCATCTTCATCCTATATTATTACCGATGAAATGAGCGGAATTCTCTAAATTTGATAAATCAATATGATTCAAATTACAAAAGCAAGAAGAAGTGGCAAAACCGACTACCAACCTGCCTCTCAAGAAATACATGAGAACATATCCAAGAGACTCCAGATCATCTCTCCTGCTTTGTTCTGTTTACCAGAAAACCATTTATTTACATGAGCACTAATGATTGAGAAACAAATAGATACGAAAAGGTTTTTGAAATTACAGTACATAGATTAAACATGAGCAACAGGAAAACACACATAAAAAATTTCGTGTACTTACCAATACCAAGATGAGTGTTGATACTTGCATATCGAGCGGTTCCAGTAAGATTTTTGTTCTCTCTGGGCGAACATAACATGACAGCATTAAGCTAAAAGGAACGGTTGATGTAGAATAATCTAAAAAATATCAGGATATGCATATTATGCAATTATATGTATATCTTTAGATCACAGTATGGACCCATATAAGAGCAGATTAAAAATCACCTATAAGGAATGTGCTGATGAGTAGTGGGATCGCGATACTTCTTTGCAAGACCAAAGTCAATCATATAGACCTAAAAGAACCGAATGGAGGACACGTGAGAACACTGACCAGCAATGCAATCAGGTCGACAGAAAAAAGTTCAAACTGCATGTAAAGACAAGGAACACAAAAACATGAGGTTCTACAAAAAAAAAAATTAATGGCTACCCTTTTGTGTCAATAACTACCTGATTTGCTCGCCTGCCTAGCCCCATCAAGAAATTGTCAGGCTTTATGTCCCTGTGGAGGAAACTCTTGGCATGCACATACTCCACTCGATTGATCTGTGTTCAAAATCAAAGTTAAAATAACTGTCTTGTTTACAGCTTGTCAGATCACTCAATACACGGCAAGTTGAATGCAGGCACCCAGTAAAAGGAAAACAAACACGAGCCACTGTAACAAAACTTGATCAACTGATTAATACACATTACGGTTGCTAAACATCAATCTTTCCTCAAAAAATGAATATATTAAGCCACGTACTACTTTGTTCAAGGATAAGCAACTGGTAATATTTGCATGTTACCCACGCAGTTTCAATTAAGCGAAATTGGTTAGTCTAATCAGTCTTACGAGAATGTAAGTTTTCAGCTTTCAATCTTGCCATAGGAATTGTTCATATAAACATGGAACTCAAGAACCATTGAAACAGATCCAAACACCCTTCACGAGTGGAGAGTGCACAACAGTTTAAGATGCTCCGTACCAGCTGGTCGGCAAGCATGAGAACTGTCTTCAAAGAGAATTTCCGGCTGCAGAAATTGAAAAGATCTTCAAGACTGGGTCCCAGAAGATCAAGAACCATCACATTATAGTCTCCTTCAATTCCGTACCATCTGATGTTGGGAATCCCAGCTGGAGATGGAGAAATAGCAGGCTCAATAAAATTAGATATGAAGATCAAATGGATGAAGAACTCTACGGATTCAACGGCGTAAAATACCAGCGAGAGAAATAAATGAAATTACCCACACTCCAGAAACGTCTTCGCGTAAAGACCTAATACGACGAGAAGTACAAGCTCACTCGAGAGATTTACTTCAACAAAGTCCTAATTTATTAATCGAAAATACCCTGATTTTGCAAAGCCCCACCATGTATTTGGTGTGAAGCCCATTGAGTCATTCAAACACAACTTATCTCATAAAGTCATATTTCGTTGCAATAAGTATAACTCAAACATTAAAATCATCTTACTTCCTCCTTGAAGAATACGGTACAACTTGGACTCATAAAGCAATTGTGGATGCTTGGCCTTGATGCTCTCCTGCAAAATAACCAGGCAAAGTCATTAAAAGGGCGCTCAACAGAGAACACTGGGAAACGTCTATATCCCCAACACCTTTTCAATACCAAATCAGACCTAATCCGCAACCGTATTGTCAGCATAATATCCAAACCCCCTCAGGATCATTGTAGAAAGATATACCACACGTGTGACAATATTGATTTTGAAGAATCAACCATGGAAAGATACCTCTCATTTCCACGAAAACGAACGATTGCCTTAGGCAAAATAGAAAAGCTATAACGAGAACAGCGACGTGATACTAGACAAATGCTGCTGCAACCTTCCAGTTTCCACCATACGCACTTCTGTAGCAAGCAAAGGTGCATGTGCTATGTGCTTTGTCTGATAGGTAGAAATACAGTCAATTACGCGGGAGGGAAGACAAGTGCACCAAACCACACAGACTGAGGGTTTGTACATTAGGCAAGAAAGTACCAGCTTGATGCCGACCTCCTCATGAGTCACGAGATTGGTCCCTGCAAAGAAAACATAGATATGAATCTTATCGTCACCTACATGGGAGAAATTGTTTCCAAAACGCTCAAAACCTGCCCCATACATACAACAACAATACAGAATCGAAGAGCTGGGCAACGCTCGTAGGACGCAAAGGAGCGCCTCGAAAAGTAACAGATTGTCGATAGATCGACCTGCAGAGCTAATGAGATACGAAAGAATGTGAAACATCACAAAAAGCAAGGTGAGTGAGAAATACAGCAAACTGCCGTATACACTGCAACTACCCTCGACACTCAAAGACCCGGGACATGAGATATAACAATCTACACAATACACTCCAAAGACGTCTTAGACGACATGATGATCGCTTAAAGCCCTGAAGTGCCGTCAAACTCACCCAGGTAGATCTCACCAAAGGAACCACTCCCAATTTTCCGGCCAAGGCGATACTTGTTGCCGACGCGGGGTTCCATCGAAGACGACGCCGTTGTATTCCTTTTATTCTGTACGGATTTCTTCTTCAATAAACTGCAGGTGACGAGTCACATGCTGCGCCCTGGAAAATCTGGAAGTGACTCGCCACTGAGCCACCCAAGCAACTGCTCCTCCCACCACTCCCAGTCCTTGCAATCACCTCCGGGTAAGAACCTCCTCCGCAGCAGCCACATGAGACTCCGCCACATGCATGGCCATTCCTCGCCTTCGCTTCCCTGCTCTCCTAAAGGCTCACTCAAGCATGCACTCTCACTTCCGCGTATCAAACCTCACCAATCCCTGTTTCCACTTTGCTTTACGTCAGCCAGAAAACCCCCAATCTGTGTGACCGTACGACGCACCCACGCACAAGGCTGCAAGCAGTGACCTCACGCTACCACCACCACTGCAAGGCCCCTTTCCCTCACAAGATGCTTCAGGCAATTGACCACCAACAAACCCTCAACCTCAGTCGGAGTGGCTCCAACTCACGCTGCTCTCTCACCCCTGCCCTGGACGCATCGCTCCACCAAACCACGTCAATCTGCGCCCTCCGTCTCCTCTCCCGCCTGGCCGTTACGACCCTGCGTCAACCCCCGTTCCACAAGCGCGCTCCCGGAACGCTCTCTCCGAGTTAGAGAGACCTCTCTCTGGAAATGGAGGATGTCGACCTAGGGTTACAAGGCGGCCATGTCCACACCGCTCCTACTTCCCTTGGGCTTGACGTTCAACTCCCCCACTCGCACTCCTCGTTACGCACCATCTCCATCCAGTTCCGGGTTTAACTGAAACCCATGGAAGACGACGACGATGAATGCACTTCATTCATCTCCGAGGAGCGCATATTCTATTCATCTATCTGCTGCACATCCATGGGCGGCCTTTGGTTTCCACCCACTCTTCCGTTTTTTTTTTTTTTTTTTTTTTTTTTTTTTGATTAAATGTAAATGGATGATTAAGATGAAAAAAAAATTCAGTCACGTAGCGTTTCTATTGTGAATTTTTCTCTGGAGTGGTTTTTGCATTTAAGATATCATTAAAAGTAACTTGAAGTGTAGCTAAAGTTGTTTCCAACATTATTTAACATGGATTCAAGATATAAATTAAGTTATGTCTGAATGTAAATCTTTTTTGTGTTCTTTTCATACATTTGGACCAAGTTGGTCACTATTTTTTGCATGGTTAGGTAATTCTTCCAAAGGCGTTGCAAATAGATTTTAATTTATAAATAAAGGAAAACAATTGAACAAAAAGAATAAAAACAAATCCATGTTGCACAATGATTTTGGATATTAGTTTGTATGTATGCATACACACACATATATATATATATATATATATATATAGTCATGCACTTATACACATGGAAACATGTTGCTTAATTTTACATTTATGTATATTTACGTATAGGTATTATCTATAAGTTTGGTAAAAGTCTCCAAAGTTATAACAAGATGAACAATTTGATACCTTCACTTTCATAATTTATCAAGTGGTGCTAAAGAAATTAAATGGAGTGGTGGAGAGAGTGTCATAGCCTCAACTCCAACTACACAATTGTGAGCCAATAGAATAGGTGTACCCCATGACAGTGTGTTGATTTTGTAATTGTAATGAATGGGCTTCAATATGGGATTGTCCCCACTTTGTCACCATCATGTCAAAAGTGTTCACACAGTCATGGGGAGGGTCATGAGGTCACTCAAAATGGTAAATAATGGTATGAATTATACAATGAGACAGTGGCATTTAAAATTAACTTAAAAGCAAATTTGTAAATGGTGTTGAAATTCAAAATATTACAATGTACTAAATAATGATAAAAACATTCAAACATATATACCAAGTTAATTCCAAATACTCCCTTGTTAGTGACTCTCTGAATATCTTTACTTTGTACAAAAAAAAATTGGGACAAGCATCAAAATATTAATAAAAAAAATCCAGAGAAAGTTACACATGAAAAATAGTACCTGGTTTCATGGAATTGCATGATGCATCAATGCATTCCCACACCACAATTTCTACGCGTTCACACCATTTTCGTCCAAGTCATCCAGAGTGGATAATCCGTTGGATGAAACACTCAATGAATGAATGAAAGAAAATGCACTCAATTGTTTATCATTTGACTTGGTCCCTAATCTCAGTGACTGTGCCTGCTTTGTTTTTTTTATCTTCTTTTTCATTTTTGTCTGTTTTTTTCTTTTCGTCCCTGGCGGTCTGACCACAGCTGGCTCTATTTGAATATGGAAATAAACAAATAAATAAGGTATGTGGATATTTTATGCATGCTTTTCCCGTCTTTCTCTGAGTATTAAATTTGAATACATTTAAGAGCCATTTTGCTTATTAATTTAATTTAATTTTCCATATATTTAATAAGATGCACAATGCAGTTTGGTTTTTTTCAATGCATTACTATTGAATTCCTATATGTATGCACGAGTAAATATCTTTTTGTGATTCTGCAGAAATATAAAGCCCCCGATTACATGACGCTCCGGATAAACATGGTGTGTACCTCTCAAGAGAAATAACTCAAATTCTCTTATAATTATATTGATGTTCTATATACTGACATATTATACTATCTCAAAAAATCACTACTGGTACAGTTGTTTTTTTTTCCATGATTATTTTTGTTTATTTATTTTCTGAAAAAACAATTGAGATGGGGAAATTCATTTCAAATGCTAAATCAATTAAAAGATTGATTAGAATATTCATTTCATTTTTATATTTACTTTTTACTATTTGTAAACTGTGTTTTATTTTGACAACAGCGTATTTTTCGTGTAAGCTTATTATTTTAATCCACGCAAGTCAACTATTCAGTCTAAACTACCAGAAAACTGTAGAGACATCACACGATCTCTGATAATTACTATTTCTCGAACAACTTAAGAATGTTGAAGACATTGTTTAGTTTTTGTATTTCAAAATCATGCTCTTATTATATCCTGTTTAATTCCATATAACTAACTTGCTGTACGTAAACAATGAGAAGTAAAAAGGCAAGCAACAGAAAAAGCGCCTTTTTCCCAGAGTTTTGACAATGGGAAGGAGCAAAATGTTTTTAGAATAGTTCTGGGTTCATTGTTTCAACTTTCTTTTAGGATCGTTTTAACATTCGTACATATTGAATACTTATAAATATATATATATATATATTTATAAAGTTAAGAAAGGTAACTCTATATATCCCCCCCCTTCTAACTAGAAAACAGAGAGGTGACTGACCGGAGATCCTGAGGTGCAGCCAGGGCAGGGGACAGGAGAGAGAGAGGTTGAAGTCAAAATTGAAAACGGGTGGGGGGTGGGGAAGGAAGGGAGGGAAGGGAAAGTCAGAGCGAGGAGGAAGAGAGAAAGAGGGAGAGAGAGGGGGGAGAAGGCCCTACAAAACCCTAATTCCATCCCCCATCCCCCCACCCCTTCCTCCCTTCCTCTCGCCTCACGTCCCTCTCTCTTTCTCTTTCTCTCTCCCGCCATTCTCCCCACACACTCCCTTCCCTTCCCTCTCTTCCCCCCCCCCTTCTTTCTTTCTTTCTCTCTCTCTCTCTCTCTTCTTCCCCTCCCTCCCTTTGTTCCCTTTTCCCTTGCCCGAGCTCCATTCTCCTTCCGCATCCCCCCCTCTACTTTCTGTGTCTGTTTCTCTGTCTATCTGTCTGTTGCTGGCGCGAGACGTTGTGTTCGTCGGTGCGGGGGCGAGGAGGAGTTGGTCGTCGTCGTCTTCGTCATCTCGGTCTTCGTCGTTGCTTGTCTGTTTGTTTGTTTGTCAGTTGTGGATTACGCTGTGTCGAATGATCTATGCCATCACTGTGTCGAGCTCAGGGGCAGTGTGGGAGAAGCGGAAATAACCATGACGACCATCACCTCGCACGAGATGAACTTTCTCATCTTCCGCTATTTGCATGAGTCTGGTGCGACTTTAGTGCTTCGATTCTCTCTCTCTCTCTCTCTCTCTCTCTCTCTCTCTCTCTCTCTCTCTCTCTCGTTTCTTGTGTTGTTTTTGTGATTTCGTTTTATTAGTGTTTGGTTGTTTATTTATTTAATTTTCCGGTTGTGGATCGATAGGTTTTGGTTTCCTATGTTTGAATGAGTGTTAGTTGTTTTGCATTCGAGGGTAGAGGTAATCGAGGAATTGTTAGGAAGGTAATTGGCTTCGCTACTCGAGTTTTAGGGTGCAGGAATGATGAATGAAGGGAAAAATTAAAAGGTTAGTCTGCACAGAGCTAGGTTGGTGTTTAGGAGTTGAGAACTAACTCACGGGGAGTTTCATTTCGCTCTACATGAGTTTGACCTGTTTCATCTCGTAGCGTTTGCTGTTGGGTTTTAGTATTTGGCTGTCTTACTTAGCTGGCAGGACGTTAGCGTGGTTCCGTAGTCAGAGTACTTTCTAGGGTTTCTTCACCGTGTTTGAGTCCAGATATATTAGACTTCTAGTTGGCTAAACTAAGTACTTCCGTCCTTGGCCAGGTTTCACGCACTCGGCATTTGTGCTTGGATACGAGGCTGGGTTGTACAAAAGCAATATCGATGGAAATAGCGTTCCTACTGGTGCACTCATATCGTTCGTTCAGAAAGGATTGCAGTACCTCGAGATGGAGGCAAACTTGAACGATGTAAGTCGATAACATTACCTTCTTTACAGTGTATTTTTCAGAAGTATATATATATATATATATATATATATATATATATATATATATATATATATATGTATATATATATTGTCGAAACCGCACTCATCGAGTACTTTCCTCAAAATTAATGTTGCCAAAAAAGCAGTATAATCCTTCAAAAGTTTCTTCTACTAGCCACGATATTCTGCCGAGTTGCGCTGTCGAGGATGAAATAGTCATACAGCAACTTCTTCATGCTACTCAGGCTCTGGAAGTGCTACTAAAATGACTGGAATCCTTCCAAAACATAGCCATCGATCCCCTTCTATTCGGTGTGAGACATTCGGTGGATTTTGGTAACAGGATGGAACAGAGGTTGATGGCGACTTTTCTCTGCTCCAACCCGTGGACCTTCTGACCAAAGACATGATGGAGTTGCGGATGATGATTAAGGAGAAGCGTTCAAAGGTTGAAAGGGAAAAAGAAAAAGAAAAAGAGAAGGAAAGAGAGAAAGAGCGAGAGAAGGAACGTGAAAGAGAGAGGGAGAGGGAAAGGGAAAGGGAGCGACAAGAACGCGAGAAGGAGAGGGAGCGAGAAAGGGAGCGGGTAGAACGGGAAAGAGACCGCGAGAGGGAGAAGGAACGAGAGAAAGAGCGGGAACGTGACAGGTCAGAGCGTGAGAAGGAACGGGATGAGAAAACTAAAATCAAAGTTGAAGAGCCTCGAGGAGCGCCTGTTGGAGGTGCGCACATATTTATCCATCTGCAAACTCAGTAGTCGCCAATGACTAAAAGGATCTTGTTGTAGGGGAAATTGTGGTATGTTTCAGAAGAGTAATAATTCTGTTCACGATGGAACTTAGGGTGCTCATGTGATGTTGGAAGTGGCTTTAGCTGATAGTTACTAAGAATATGAATAGAAAGGTTCGGGTTCAACCTCAATGGAAGACCTAGGGTTTAGTCTAGAAAGTCGGAATTCGATATAATACATGGCTGCTCGTTGTATGCCTTAACCGCCTGCAGTAGTATTCTATGCATGGATGGAGTCCATCGGCGCAGCCTTAAGCTGGTATGAGCTTATCGAGCTGAACTGGAAGTGTAGTTTCTAGTCTGACACACGTAGAAGATAAAGAAGACATTTAAGTAGTTAGTTGAAAATAATTGTTGGATTACAACGGCATTATATTTATGAGAATTTGGCTCCCTTGGTGTTTACAGATCAAATGGAGGTTGCTAGTGGTACGACATTTCAAGGAAGCGAAATTTCTCATGCTGATGTTACTATTTTAGAAGGGCACACCTCTGAGGTATATGTGATCTAAAACTCCGATACCTTTGGTAATTGTTTACTATATTTAGTTATCAGTATCAATTTAGAGAATGATTCTTTGTCATGCAGTAAAAAAAAAAATAAAAAAAATAAAAAAATAGCAGTACCATTATTTGGAATTTTGCAGCATCTGCATGTTCGTTATTATTCTCAGAACTGAAGCATGTACAATCAATTGTGGACTTCGATCTCATTTTCCGGACAAGTCTAATTTTTAAAGGTGAGACTTTGTTGCGAATGCAGGTTTTCATTTGTGCTTGGAGTCCATCTGGATCTCTTCTTGCTTCTGGGTAAGTGACCAATCTTTAGATTTTATTCTAGGTCTATTATTAGAGAACAAAGCACATTTTTGAATGGTTACTCTTCCTGTTATTATTGGAACAATGTGTTCGCTAGAGTGTAACCGTTGCGATACGTTCCCGTCATCTTCTATGCGATGTGCCTCGTCCAGGACATTGATCGTGTTATGTTGAGTGATTACCCAGTTTTTTTTTTTTTTTTTTTTTTTTTTTTTTTTTTTTTTTTTTTTCCTTCTTCTTCTTCTTCTTCTTCTTCTTCTTCTTCTTCGCATACTGCAGATGCCCTCTTCTTCTCCATGTAGCTAATTTTGCAAAATCCAATGCAGCTCTGGGGACTCAACTGCAAGAATATGGAGCATTAGTGATGGCCCTTCCGGGAATTCTGCAGCAGCATCTAAGCCTCTTGTGCTTAAACACTTCAAGGGCAAGACTAATGAAAAAAGCAAAGATGTGACTACTCTGGATTGGAATGTACGTTAGTTGAAATTACTTGCTGTCACACATTGGGTTATTGCTGAGTTACCATTTGTCCTGATTACGATCTTTCTTTCTTTCTTGATTCGGGTTGGAAAGATTATTTGTGCATTTGTATGAGTGAAACGCTCACTTGGAATGAAGATATTGAATGTGGACACTTTTTGGTGTGTACAGGGCGAGGGAACTCTTCTTGCTACTGGGTCATATGATGGGCAAGCTCGAATTTGGAGCAAGGATGGTAGGGTTAATTCTTCCACATTATAAAAATAATGAATTTTCAACTGCCTAATTGTTGTGTAGTGCTTACGATTGTTTGCGTCTCCTTGATGTAACATGTTGGACCATTTTGTCTAATTATTTTCTGCTCACGGTTTCAGACCGTCGTGATTTTAGTGGATGATTGCTTCTCCTGGATACTTTGGATTTGATCACTTTCTTTTGTCGGTGCAGGAGAATTGAAGAACACCCTCAACAAACACAAAGGTCCAATATTTTCCTTGAAATGGAATAAAAAAGGAGACTGTTTGCTTAGTGGCAGTGTCGATAAGACGGCCATTATTTGGGATGCTAAAACTGGCGATGTGAAACAGCAATTTGAGTATCATACTGGTAAGTACAGCTACGGATTCGAAATTATCGGAAACTTTTCTCGAGAATGACATGTTTAAAAGCGAATACTTTTACAGTATCATTCCACTCCATTGCTGGTCTTGTTGTAGGATTCATCCAGATCGAAAGTTGCTGTCTCCTCTTAACGAGTGTTAGGCCACGTCTGAATTTTACACATTATGATCACCTGGTCGTCTTGTGTGTTTAAGGGTTGTCCTATTCCTGACTATGATTTATTTTGTTGCTGGTTGTGCCATCTTTTAGCTGGACTTTCTAATCAGATATGTGGTTTTGCAGCACCCACACTGGACGTTGACTGGCGCAACAATCTTTCGTTTGCAACATGCTCAACTGACAAGATGATATATGTGTGCAAGCTTGGAGATACCCGTCCCGTGAAAGTATTCCAAGGTCACCAGGTAGGCAGAGTTCCCGTTAATTTATGTGAGAATTGTTGTTTTAGTACTTTGTAGGAACTCTTATAAATATGCTCCGAGTACACGGACATTTCAGTGATAGCCATTATCATCAATCAGAAGTTCAATGTGCTAGGTCTGTGCACCATTCAAAAGAATTCTGGAAATGTGCTCTTATACGTTGTGAAACTGGGCTTTGAGATTCACCGTAATAGGCAGTTACACCTGCTTAGGATTTGCCATATTGGTCATTGGGTAGTAGTGCTCTGTGACCTCTCAGCCTGAAGTTCAGTGACAAAATCTCTCTCAAATAGTTGTTGACTTCCTCAATTCTACTCATTTGCCACGGGGTTTTGTATTGGTGCAGGATGAGGTGAATGCTATCAAGTGGGACCCCACTGGCACCCTATTGGCCTCATGCTCTGATGATTTCACAGCCAAGGTGTGGTTATTTTCTTGTCTTGTCTTCCACTCCCTAATTGGAATAGTGCAGTGCATTTGGCTTTTGTCATTCGTTTGTGACGTTCTTAGACTAATAACGTGTTCTTCGCAGATTTGGAGTTTAAAGCAAGACAGATGTCTTCATGATCTTAAAGAGCACACGAAGGTAAAAATCTGATGATCCGAGAATTCATTGAGCATGCCTAAATAACAATCTTAGTTGAAATTTTAACTTTTATTATTGTCGCTTACGTCAGAATATCGAATTTTTTCTTGAAGATTGTTAAACAAAAAGAATTTTAATATAGTCGATTTACCAGTTCCATGTCATTTACACGTATACAGGAGATATATACGATCAAGTGGAGTCCCACAGGCTCTGGGTCAGCAAACCCCAACCGTGATTTGGTGCTGGCAAGGTAATGTCTATCTGTGGGCAGATCTATTGCAGTGTTAACTTTCTAAGCTGTTATCAAATATTTTTTGCCATGTCTGGTTGTTTACTAATTATTTTTTTAATTAATCATTTACATAAACTGCAGTGCATCTTTCGATGCCACTATCAAGCTTTGGGACGTGGAACAAGGATCGCAACTTTTCAGTCTCACACATCACAGGTGGGTTGCTAAATTTATGGTAATTTAAGGTTATGTTGAAAGTATTTGTTCTCTGCTTCACACCTTGCCTACCATCAGGCTTTTATCGTCGCTTTGTGCTGTTTTGACCATTTTACTTTGGGCGTGTTTACAGTGAGCCTGTTTACTCTGTGGCCTTTAGTCCCAATGGGGAATATCTCGCAAGTGGATCATTTGACAAATGTCTACACATATGGTCGGTGAAGGATGGAAGCCTGGTGAAAACTTACCGTGGGAGTGGCGGTATATTTGAGGTTTGCTGGAATCGTGAGGGAGACAAAGTGGCCGCATGCTTTTCTAATAACACCGTTTGCGTGTTGGACTTCAGAATGTAGATTTTTTTAGGTCCCTTCCCGATAGTCTCATCAGTATTCAAGCGTTCTGTCACATGTACAGCTAGCTTTTGTTCATTATCAATTTTACTTTACCATACATTTTCCACCTTTGCAATATGGATTTTCATTTTGTTAAATTGATGATCATCATCAATTTAACAGTATTTCATCCACACGTGTTGAGATTGTAACCGATACAAAATATTGCAAGGACGATTTTGCGTTCAGCTGTTTTTGTAAGCTGTATGTTTTTGGTTAAAGATTCGTGCAGAATTGTTCGTGTAGTTTTAATTTGGTGCAAGATTCAAAGAAATTCGAAAATTTATTGAAAAGTTTCAAATATGTTTCAGACTTTCAGACGAGTTGCAGAAAGGTTTGTAGTTTGAACATACGAGCGTAAAACTATTCAGCAATCTGCGCTATCAGAGTTGTCGACAAAATGTCAACCTGACATTTTGAGTTAACAAATGTTTAAGAGATGCATGTGACAGATTGAAGGTTGTGGAAGACGAATCCGTTTTACAGAGAATTGAAGCCTCAACTTTATAACGAAATTTGGAATACACAGAGTGGGTACAGATCCTGAGCATTTTTACGTGAGGAGCCGCCTAGAGATTATCCTCCTTCACTCCGTCACTTGAATCACACATGTTACAATGCCGAGGAGAATCAAGCAGTGTGGCTATGGCCGTGAATGGGAGTCGCAAGGCTCCATACGAAGCCGTAGGGGTCGATGACCTTGCCGTATCGCTGGCCCCATGACTGGTCTGCGACTTTCTCTGACACCTTGGCTCCAGCCTCCACAGCTTGCTTGAAGGCCGCATCCACGTCGCTGGTGTTGATATGAAGGATGACGGGCGTTCCGTGCAGGGATGACGCGTTGTGCACACTGTTGTGCCACGAGGCAGTATTTCGGTCAGTGCTGTGTAATTAAAACTGTTTGTGAAATACTCTTGTCGTTTTGGTTACATGGTGATCGGAGCATCATTTCAAGTTCCGAACGCATGACATGAGCTGGAGGTTTTCAAGAGACAAAATGAAACATGACCGCTACTGTAAGAGCTAACCCTAAGCACCTCCATAACTTCAAGCTTTCTGCAGCGATCCAAGAGACACTACCAATCGTCATTTGGTCAATCCACGGATTAGCAACTACTGAAAACAGTCATTTTGTGGGAATATCATGTGTTTACCTGGATCCAAGCTCTTCCGTCTCTTCCACGAGAAGGACTTCGGCGTGTCCGAAACGGAGATGCGCATGCTGCACAGACTTGTCCGCCCCAGTGGGATGCTGCTTCTTCACGGTCTGCCTCTTCACCTCCTCCGCGCCGAATGCTTTCTGGTAGAATGCAATGGCGTCGTTCACTTGGTGTGGCTTCACCACAAGGTGAGGCATCACCTGCTCATACACGATCCCCGTCATGATGCAAGATCCGATTCCTACAAAATACTAACTAAACTCTCAGCTACTATCGTTCACAGGCTTCTGAATAAGTTTCGGCCTCAAGAGTAGAGGAATGAAACCGTGCTGATACAAAAAGAAACCTTGGGTTGTGCAATATAGGAACTGATGGACGAGTGGAAGGGTTTACAAGAACTAGGTCCTATGCACACATTCTTCTCGTGGCTCGTGGCGGCACTCGTCTGCAATCTCGAGTATTACGGTGCATGGGCACGTTGGAGACAGTAAGCTTCTGTGGGTGCATGATTTTCTTGCTCGTGTATCAACACAGGTGAATGAATTGAATTGTAGGTTTTTATTTGGCAGTATCCAAACCCTACAGACAGCTGCCACTTACTTTAAGCAGTTCTACGTTGGATTGGTATTGGAGCCTCCCAAGTTTTTATGGATTTTCACGTATTGGGATTCACACGAGAAAAGTAAGAAAGATTTTAAAATCTTCTGCTTCTCTGTTCTGCTGTTGCTGCGTGTGCCATGTGTGTGACACGTTTCGACGATTGGTCGAACATACTAATTCAATCCTTACCCCAACTTCGAAAAGCATTTATGTGGCACCGCCTGAGGCAAGATACTTCAACTTGTTTGTCATATCCGTTCACTACGTTGGTTGCAGTTCTATATATATATATATGTATATATATGTAAAAAATACTTTATCAACATAGTTTGTGTAGACCAAGTAGTAGCCATATATATGAGGAACTGGCATGTACACAGTGCATGATTCACTGCAGATAAATTTGGTTGTATTTCACTGTTATTGTTTTTATTTTGTGTGGAAAAGTGTGTCGGTTCTTTGATTGTGCAAAAAGTCAAAAGAGAATCTAGAATAAAAGACTATATATAAAAAACATTGAATGTGTCAATATAAAAAACATGGAAGAATCCTATAAAATTTAATAAATAGATATAATATATAGTATGCTGCAATAAGTGTGAAGTATATGCAAGTAAAACTGAAAATACACTTTCGAGTTTGTGAGCATAGCTACTGTTTCGAATTTTGTAAAGAAAATTTAAAGGAAAATGAAACTAAAGGCAGTGAGGAAAGAACTCTTTAAATCTAAGTATTTTAGTAAATGATAAGAATGAATTATTAAAATAATTTTTTTACCTATGAAATATTAACATTACAGTTAGTTAATAATAGCCATCTAATATAATACTTAATTTTTTAATAAATATAATTAAAAAAATGAATTATATAAATATAAATATATATATATATTTTAATAATTAGAATAACAAATGAAAATTTCGAAGAATAATATTAATAAAATTAATAGATATTAATTATAATTTTTTTAAGAGAATTTAAGAATATACGATTTTAGATCAATATAATATTAACTTTTTTCTCAAAAAAGAAATTCAAGAATGAAATAAATTAAGCCAATTTGATACATATTACAAAGGTCTACACAACAAGAAACTTTATAACATATTCTAATATAAATACCATATTTTTTCCTTTTTGCATTACCTTAAATTTGACTACAAAATTTTTAATTCTTTTTTGTATGTAAAAATAGCTTAAATTTGGCACATGGAACAACATAATGCATGGTACAATGTAAACATTTTAGCTCTATTGAAATTATGCATTATCAAAGTTTATTATGATTTTATTTGTGCCAAAGCTACAATACAATCAGCTCATATATATATATATATATATATATCTTTTAATGCTAATCTTATTGACTAGAAAATTTATTATATTCCTAATGAAAATTTTTAATTTTAATGCAAATATATATATATATATATATATATATATAATCTTATATAAGCTTATACTTTTCTGAATTAGAAATAATTGTGGTGATGTTTTTTTTTAAATCGAGATTTATTTAATTTATCTTTTTGATTAGACTTTTAAAACAATGATTTTTTATAATTTTATTCATAAAAGCATAATTATTTTTTAAATACATGTTTGAAAATATTCTTATTTTTTAAATTCATATATATATTAAATATCTATATATTATACTTTTTTAGTATAAAATATTTTATAAGAATTTTTATTGATGTTTGAATTCTTTTGTAAAATACTTTGAATTCACGTGAGTTTTATATATGATGTTTTTTCATTTTGTATTTTTTTTAGTAATAGATTTAATCAATATTTAAATGGATTAAAAAACTGAAGCAATTTTTTTTATTTTGGTTATTTTCTTGCAAATTTTAATTATTCCCAATCCTTCATCTCAATTCTCTTCCATGTTCCCAATGCACATCTCCCCGTCCCCCGTCTATATTTCCAACTTCCATCTCTTGTCCCCCTTGTCTCTCATTTGCTGTCTCTATTCTCAACTATGTTTTAAGTTATTGTTGTTGCTGTAGTTCTATTTAATCTATAGATTTGAATCTTCAAAAATCCTATCTTATCAATTTCTTTACAACCATAATTTTGAACCAAATTTCAAAAGAGCAATTATATACTAATTGTCAAGGACTTGAATCTTGAAGAAAAAAATCCTTAATATATTCTTGTATCACTTGAAAAGACTAGAAAATCACTTAAAGCTGGTACTATATTGAACTAAAATGACTATTGCCAAAGGCAAAAAAACTAGAAAGTTTTGAAATAAGACTAAGGATTTAAAATATATCAACAACAGTGAAGAAGGCTTTATACTTGCCTCTATATATACTCTCTAATTAAGAACTATATGACAATATTCTCTAGGACCTTTAATACATTGTGGTATTACGTGAAGTCTTCCTTGAGAATGCGCCAAGTATTTGGCTATAGAAGGTAAAAGAAATTTCCAATAACAAGTCCTAACAACTCTAATAGAATCATATATAAATTAAAATTAAAGCTTAATAAACATAATCAAATATTGATTAAGCTCAAATAAATTTTTAAATAAATTATAAAAGAATACAAAAGAAATCTTAAAGAATTTCTAAAAAAGTCATAAAGAAATAATAAAGAAATCCTAAAAAATCTAAAAAAATCTAAAAGAAATAAAATACAATTCCTCAATAAATCTAGAAAAAATATAACAAAAATCCTAAAGAAATACAAAATAAAAATAAATAATTTTAAAAAAAATTCAAAAAAATTCAAAAAAATTCTAAAAAAATGTAGATAAAATCCACAAGAAACTTAAAGAAATCTTTAAGAAATTCTAAAGAAATCTTAAAAATATATAAAATCCTGAATCAATACTAATTAGATCCTAAATTCTAAATCAAATCTTAATCAAATCCTAAATCTTAAATCAAATTCTAATTAATTCTTAAACAAATTCTAATTGAAACCTAACTAATTCAAATTAAACATAGGATAATTTTAGAGCCTCAATATCTATTGACTAAACTATTGATCTTGTTTAAAATTTCATATGCCTCTCAATTTCTTAGCACAATAAATTAAAAAAATTAAACTTACAAAATGGAATAAAAACATCATAATCCACTTAGATGTAAGCCGACCTCCATCGTTGACCTTAATATTGATCTTCTAGCAAAAATAATTCCTAATTGAATTATTAACTTATTCTCAAATTTTTCATAAGTGTTGGAAGTCAAGTCAACTATTAGCTCTAATGAAAATCACCCCAATCCAATTGATAAATTGTTGCAAATCTTAGATAGCCTTACTAGACCTAAAAATTTAAATTCTAAGATCCTAACTAATTTGAGCTTCAATAATCTCCAATCCAATTGTCTAATTAAGCTCAAATTGATAATATAAGTTGAATACAACTATATTCACAATTTCACAAAATTTCACTTATATATCTACTAAAAAACTTATAAAATTATTCAAATTATAATTTCTATTTTATTTTATAAAATCTAGAATCATCTAAAATAACCTTGATTTTGCAAAGCTCTCACAAAGTCATTATAAACTCAAATCACTTGAAATTAATTCTTTAAAAAATTCTATAAAGTCTTCTTTCAAAATTTACTTTTAGATTTGTAAAAGAATCTTGAAGTTGCTACAGATGTGCAATATTATGTCTTGGGATCTGATTTTGATCTAGGTTGAAAATTAGTCCTCTCCAAGTATCAAGTTTTGTCTTCTCGAGGTAATTTCTGCTAAAATCAACTCCTAATTCCTTCCTATATATGCTTATATTCTTTATTTTTTTAATCGATTTTATTTTTCCTTATTTATGGTTCTACAAAATAAATAGAAGCCTATTTTATAAAAATACAGTATTTATATTTTTAGTTTGCTATCATTTAACTATTATTTATATTTTTAAAATAATTTTTTTATAATATTTTGAAATAAGATCTTCTAAAATATGATAATTTCTTCACTCTTTCATCTATTAGTTGTATTACATTATTACACTACATTGTAAGATAAGAAAAAAAAATAATTATAATTTGAAGTCCAATTGGGGTACTGCCGTAGCATTGTAAATAACTAAAATTCAACAATCAATACCACCTTGATCAATACTTTCACTTTGTAGCACCAACATCTTAAGAAGAATCAAATTTTGTTAAAGAATGTGATTGATGAATAGCCTTTCGCCATTAGAACTAATTCACATTGGCATTGTCATATGTCGCACTCCACTTCTAATTAATTGCTATCAAAAGTTTTATGAATCTTTAATCCACACCATAATATTTTCTAAATAAGAACATTTTTGGTAACAACAATAATGCCTAAAATCACACAACAATGGTATTTTTACTTGAATGAAGAGCTTGGAGGCTAGTTGTGCCACTTTGAATTTCAACTATATATCAACAGTTTATTAAGCAAGAAAAAAAATTAATTAAATAAAATATCGTAATAACTCACATAAGTACATAAATGACCAATAATACAACTCATAGAGACAAAGTCCAAGAGCCTTCACCCAATTCAAAATAAAAATAAAAAAATAAAAAAGCATAAGATATCAAAGATACAAATTTTGAAAAAAGAAATCTTCAATACACTCTTATGTTACTCAAAAGGATTAGAAATTTATTCGAAGATAATATAGTATTAAATTAAAATGACTATTGTAAAAGATAAAAATATTAGAAAGTCTTGAAATAAGAGTAAGGATTAGAAAGGTATTGACATGAGTAAAGAAGACTTTACTCTTGCCTCCATAAATACCCTCAATTAAGAGCTACATAGCGATGTTCTATATGACCTCAAAAATGTATTGACTTTACAAGATATATATCTTAATTTTCAAACCAAGTTTTTTATGTGTACACAATATAATTAGCTTCTGCTACAAGCTACCAATATATAATTAACTTATT